TGCATCTGTAGGACAAGGGTACACAGTCAGTGGCCAATAAATGTTGGTGAAGAGAGGAAGAGAGAGGGAATAAAATAAATTTTATGTCTATTTTCTCCATCAATTCTCTTCTCCTTCATCCTCATGTCATGTCTTCCTATTACTTCTCTCCAAACACTAATACATCATCTTTATCCTTCTCTTCCTAGTTTCAATTCACAACTTGCAATATCTCTCTTGGGGTCCTAACTATTGCAAAAATGCTGATCTGGTGTGTGAGTAGCACAGGTTTCACAGTTTGTTGCTCCTTAGCATTGCAAAGAAGAGGATTGTTTTATCTGGCGCTGGATTAGTCTCCATTATATCTCCTCTTCTGTTTTAGCTAGGGATTTTTAACATGATTGAGTTTTACCTAGTTTTCAATGTTAGCAGCTGGGTAAACATACTTTCTGCAACACCCTGGATAAAATGGCAAACTCCAGGGGAAAGTCTTCTACCTTTAAATTAATAAAAAAGACTTGCTCACAGCCCTGGCTGGGGAATAGTAACACCTGAGAACATTTGAGGGGAATTGTGTGTGCTGGCTGTGGAAAACGCAGCTGATGACCAAAACAGGCAGCTGCCGTCCTGAGCGAGGCTGACCGCCCTCAGAGAGTAGCTTCAAACTGTACTTAGCAAGAATAACAGACAAGTGAGGTAAGTGACTGACAACTCTGGTAGGTACTTCCAAAAAAGCCTGCACTTTTCATAGGAGAATCACCTGATTCTAAAAAACATAAATGAAGGCTTACAAGGAACAGGGAGGGGAGTACTCAAAAATTGCTCAGGGAAAATACTTTGGAAGGAAGATTTTGAAACACAATAGGAAATTCATGTGTATATTTACAAGCGCCAACGTCGTAAAAATCCATGAATGCTTCTGTTTTCACTGTCTTCAAATTGGGTACAAAGGAGGAGAAACCTTTTTAAAACAAATACAGTGAGTTCATCATTCCTAGAGTTTGTTTTTAAACTTCTCTGCTGTGCAAATTCACTCTCATGAATCCCTCCATATTTTTACATGTTTTAAAGATTTTCTAAAATAAAAATATCAGGCAAGGAAAGTATCTATAAGTATTAAAGGAAAGTGCTTGTGATGTAAGGTTTAATAGAAGACAACAGGCAAAAACACGATACACTCACATGGTAAAGTCGATTATCTGTGAGTGGCTACAGTTACTAAAAATATGTTTTTACTATGGAAATGACTGGCAAACCGCATTTAAAAAATTGGAGCATGTATATCAACATGTTGAAAAAATACAATAAATGAGTAACAGGCACAGTCTGTAACTGCAATACTTTTGCAAAATAGAAATTTTTAAAAAGTGGTTATTATGAAAAATATGGAAAACTAACTTCTTAGGCTCACTGAAACAAATGTGTTAAGGAATAGTTCAAAAATAACCACTACAATGTCTTCTAGAAAGTCTGCAATGGTTACCAAATGAAAATTCAGGAGGGCAAGGATTCTTTACTGTATTTTACTGCTATATTACTAGTGCTCAGAACAGTTCATGGCACACAGTAGGTGTTCGATAAATGCTTGTTGAATACGTGAGAGACTGAATAAATGGAGGAGAAGCATAGACCATTTCAACCTAGCCCTCTGGTCTCTCCAGGTAAGAAACAGGGTCTTCCTGACTCCATGTTGCTGAAATGCTTTGACCTCTCCTCTACTAGGTAGAGCACTCCCTCCCTTGATGCTCTCTCTTCAAGTTAAAGAGAAAATAGTTGCTAATAAGCAAATCCATTTTATGCACCCCCCCACAAAAAAAAATCCTTTATTTCACAAGTTTAATAAACTACTTCGTCATAAAGGCTTTCATTATTTCATGACACGATCTGCCTGCCATGGGCTCCCACTCTCTCTGAACCAACCTAACACCCCTCTTCTCTTGCTCCCCCAGATCCAAGCACACTGTCCTCTGAGTTACTCCATAAACTCTGCCTGGAATGCATCTCCCAGATGCCTGCCAGCCTCCCTCAGACATTTTCTCTCATTTCTTGCAGGATTCTGCTCAAATGTCACTTTCACAGAAAAGCCCTCTGTGACCAGGCTAAATGAAAAACCCAGCTTCACACTTAACTTCTGGCATTCTTCCTTGTCCTGGCCTGCATTATTTTTCATGGATACACTTGGTCTGTTTCATTCACTTCTCTATCCCCAACGCTTGCAACAGTGCCTACTACACAGCTAGTGCTCAATAAATATTTCTTGAGAGCATAAACAAACAAGGACACAGTCATATTTTATGTGCCACTTCAGGGAGGCAATATGAGAGATGAAAAAGGTGTTACATTTTGAATCCCATTTCTAACTATTCACTATGTGCCTGACCTGGAGACCACCTCCCTAAATGTCAGAATTTTCATATCAAGTGGAAATAGTAACACTTATTTGGCATGTACTTGGCAGCCACCAAAGGCTGGTTCCACCCCTTCCTTTCTCCCTGGCTCCTTTTTTGTGGCTGTGAGCTAATGTAACACTTTTGTTAGGAAATAAAATGCCTGCAAGTTCTGAGGTGACTGTGCCATGTGTGTGCTGAGCAAGACAAGAATGTTGAGAAGGCCCTGGAGCAGTATCATTCATAATGACAACCAACACTGATTGTACTTCCGTTTGACAAGGGACAAGGCACAAAAAGGACAACCTTCTTTTCTAAAGGTGCCATCATCTGACTGGGAACAGAGGCTTCTAGAACTGGCCTTGAAACATGACTAAGTTTCAGAATAGTGGTAATCCTGAGAAGCATTTCAGAGAGGAAACTAAACCAATAGGGAGGGTGACTATAGCAGGGATGTCCTTTGGAAACATGTTGGAAGAAGAGTGGACAGGAAAGGTGATGCCAGATTATGGAACACCCTGCATGCCAGGCTGGAGGCTATGTCTAATCATGTAATTTATGAAGCACCACTAATATTTTTGAATACTGGAAAAACAGAATCATATAATGAAAATGACAAATTTTAAAGAACCTGTAGAGACTTCTCAAAGCCAAGCACTAAACAATACTAATGATCCCAGTGCTATTTGTTTGGAAAAATAAATGATAAGCTTATAAACTGGAATGAATCAATATTCTAATTCTAATCTTCCCAGATCATCACTATTTGAACTACCTTGGAGGAGAAGAGACATGCTAGAAAAGACTTGGAGAACTGCAACCCATAAGAAAGTACCAAAAAATGTCAGCGCACTAGCAGAAGAGAGCACAAAAGCTAGCCTCCAAGCAGCCAAGGGCTCTATCTGTGGTCTGTGTTTTAACAGCAGTACAAATGATGATGTGACCTCCTTATGAAATTTCCTCTCCTAGGACTACCCCCTCCCCCAACTCAGTCTCTTCCTTGCACATTGATTCCTTACTTATTGTTAAGTCTGAACAAAAATATAACAATCTTATGAATACCAAAATGCTGAAACTTCTACTTCTGTATGTAAAAGAAGAAGGTTGCAGATTATTTAACTCACACCAAAGAGGGAAAATGGAAATGAGTATGTTACAGATGCTACTAAAAGTCATTCCACAGTTGAACTCCATTACAGAATTTAACAAGGAATAAAAGTTTTAAAACATAGGAAACCAATCTAGGTATCATATTTTCCTTGGGATCTACTCTTCTTGCAGCATGGTCATGATTTATTCAGATTATCAAAGAGCTTCTGATAAGGTTCTCACAAGTGGTTATTATTGAAACTTGGTAACCATAGTGTGAAAGGAAAAAGTTTTATCAATTAACTATATTAATTACAAATGATTGAGAGGCATAGAGGCAAAAAGAAGAAATAAATGGGCAATTCTCATGTGGAGAAAAGTTAGTCATTGAGGGCTCTGGGGCTTCGCGGTAGAATCAGAGTTATATTTAACTAGGGACCAGAAAAGGGCACCCAGTTCTCCTTCCCCCATTCTGTGTCTATCAGTACCACAACACACAGTCCCTCTATTGATGTGAACAGCATTTGGCACATGGAAAAGATACAGGCAGTGTTTAAAATCACAAAAGTGTTTAAAGTTACAAAAGTATTTCAAATCCAGGAAAGAGAAAATAGATAGATGAATGTTGATTCAGATATTCCTACAGACATCCCCAGATACAAAGACAACAAAAATAAAAACAACAGCAGAATTTTAGTTCTTATAACTTTGATGTATACTACATAGAAACACATGAGCATTTTCAAAAGACTGGATATGGTATTTAAACAAAATTACCTAATCTATTGGCATGATGAGAGCAAATTTTCAATAGAAGAAAAATTCATGTGGGCATTTCGATCCACAAAAGCCACAAAGCCTATTTGTACAGATTCAGAAGACATGTAAAGGCAAACAAAAAGTGAAACTGACATGGAACAGTAAGAATAATTACTTTTTTTCAGACAAACTTGAAAAATTGGTACAGGTATTACAAATAAATAACCTGACATTAATGGAAAAATTTGGCATTTGCGAAGATCCAGAAATAACATCATGATTCACAGGAGTGGCTCAGAAATGCAAACCAACTCTTGGTTTCACCTCTCTTTGCCTTGTTTTCCTTACATGTAAAATGGAAATAACAGAACTTACCTCACAGGATGATTATGAGGATTAAATGAGATAATGTATCTAAAGCATTTAACACAGTGAAAGTATGAAATAATGTTAAATTATTATTGTTGTTGTTGTATTTATGAAAAACTAAACCCAAACAGCTACAGGACACAGAGAAACAACCTAATTCAAGTCATGGTGACTTTCTTATTTATATCATTGTTATGACTCAGTACTTAACAAAGCATATAAAATGTGTTCAAGTGCTTCTAAACAAACAAACAAAAAAAACCCGCAGCTTTAAAATCTCTCCACTAGCCAGTTTTGTAAAATGGAAGAGAATTACAAATTGATCTCAAATAAGCCAAGAAAAAAACCCACAAAACACCAGATAAATGCTTATCATATATTAATTCTTAAATGGATGAATACAAGATCCAAACTTACCGTTCAGATAATATTTTAATAAGCTCTTTTCTATTCTGTACCCGAAGGTGGTTAGTTTTATACTTGGAGTCATCAATCAACTCAGGCAAATCCAAGATCTAAAAGGGAAAAATAATTTTCAAGTATAAGAAGTAGATTGTTCTTGTACCTGCCTCTGGGTGCCAGTGTTCAGGTCTTGTCTCTCCCTTCTCAAGAACATTCCTTGCTGGTCTTTATGCCCCTCAACAAGGACATATGGAGGGAACAAGCACACAGTTAGGATGGATCATGCTGGTGAAAGGGTCTGTCATTCATAAGAGGCTTTTACTACATTTAAGCAAATATTCTTCCATATAGGAGAACAGCAAAAGATCCCCATAAGTCTTATGCCAAATATGAGAATATAGGAAACATGTTATCAGATTACCATAGAAAAAAAAATCTGTTTAGAGGAAATAGGGAGAGAGATGCTAAACTGGGTAAAACGAACCAAATTTTAAAAACCAATATCATAAGTGCATACCTACATGTATCTTGTATACAGTCAACATGCACCTTGTAGATATATTCACTTATTTATTCCACATGTAAATAAAATACTGTTATCTTCCCAGGTTGTCCTATGCAAAATATTCTAAAAGCTGCTAAAATAAAGTAAAAGCAAATACATTTGCCCAAATTCTCACCATTTAAACAATAGCAAATTAAAAGATCTTCTTCTTATAGAAGTATCACTATTTTTTATTAATATATCTCCCTGAAGTAATACCAACTAGAAATGCTTTTATAGATTTCCTCTTCTGCTCCTCCTCAATAAGGGGAAAATCTATCTTGCAAGTCCCTTTGGACAACGTTCAATGTTAACAAGACTATAATGAAAGTACCAAGTGGATTTGGAATGGAAAAGTTTTACAAAGACTGTGTAGAGGCAGTGCTTGGCAGTTGTGTTGGAAAGTTACAAGGAGCATTTACAGCCTGGGGGCAGGCCATGCGGCCTACAGAAAGCTTCATTGTCTTTATTAATGTATTTGCAAAGGAGAGAGAAGTGAAGAAGATTCCCCTGAGTAAAGAGACCATCTCAGTGGTGTAATTTCTTTCACATGTTTCAGTTATTTCCTTTAGGAATAATAAAGACAGCATTATTCTCCCAGATTTTAAAAACCAACACCACATACAGCACCCTTTCTAGAAATCTCCCTGTCACAACACCTGATCCAAGAATTGGCCTCAAGCCTTGTCTAGCAGTTAGACACCCTCTCTCCCTAAGAGTGAATAAGTCATTCCAAAAAAAAAAGCAAGTGTCTTCACTAAGTCACAGGTTAAATTTACAAACTTGGCCTTACCCAAAAAGCACCATCAGCAACAAAAAATTAAACACAGTGACCACACTTAAGGGTAACTGGAATGCCCATGTGTCCACTGTATTTGACTTAATGGGACTCTTCTGTTTCAAAGATGGTGTGAAATTATTGGCCAAAGTAATAATCCTTCCATCTTCAACTATGCCAGCTAACATTCAAAATGTTTCTAGAGAGACAGCTTCAAGGACTGTGATCATAACTATTATTTTGGAGCTTAAATTTAAAAAGAGTGCTGCCTGGGATAAAACAAAACAATGTACATGAAAATGCTTGACATATTAAGCAGTAAATAAATGTGAAGTATTCCAACTAGGTACTGTTTCCCCCAAAAGAAATTTTTTTTTTTTTTTTTGAAACAGAGTCTCACACTGTTGCCCAGGCTGGAGTGCCGTGGCACGATCTCAGCTCACTGCAACCTCCGCCTCCCAGATTCAACGGATTCTCCTGCCTCAGCCTCCTGAGTAGCTGGGATTACAGGCATGCATGCCATCATGCCCGGCTAATTTTTTGGATTTTTAGTAGAGACAGGTTTTCACCATGTTGGTCAGGCTTGTCTTGAACTCCTGACATCAAACGACCCACCCACTTCAGCATCCCAAAATGCTGGGATTACAGGCATGAACCACAGAGTCTGGCCAGAAATTTTTAAAAAGCATATATTGGTTCAAAAAAGAAAGGAGGGAGGGTTCCGCAAAAAAAAATGAAGAGACATTGGCAAAAACAAAAAGAAAGAAAATAACAAAACACCATAAACTGAGTGACAAACATTTTCTAAAAAGGGGAAAAGAGAGAAAAAATAATGAAGACCCATGATAATAAAAACTGCAAGTGTTTTAACATGCCTGTCATCTAAAGCCCCCCTTGTAGCAAAAACCAAAATCCTTAAGATAGTCTGAAAAGTTCTACACGATATGGTGCTATTACCTCTCTAACATCACCTCTTACCATGCTCTCCTCCCTTGCTCATTGCTGCAGCCATTTCATCTTCTTGCTGGACCAGGAACATGTCTATTCCACTTCAGCCTCAGGAGTTTTAAAATAGCTATTCCTTTGCTTGGAACATCTTCCACCAGACATCTAGTCGACTAGCTCCTCCTTTCCTTTGTTGAGTCGACTCAAATTCAACTTCTTAATGCAACTACCCTGATTACCCTACCCCCACCACAGGCCACCCCACCCCACTCAACACTGACTGCCCTGATTCCCTCTTTCCTTGCCCATTTTTTCCCATAATATTTATCACCTAACATATTTATCATGTTTATTACTCCATATCTGTCTGCCCTGCTAAAATGTAAGCTTCACAAAGTCAAAATATTTTAAATGTTTTGTTCACTGGTATAGCCCAAATGCTGACAACACATTCTTCAACTGACAAGCTCACAGATAAACAATGTGAACACTTCCAGGTGTATGATATTTCAGACATTATTTTTTGCATATACCTTATTCCATTGTGTCTAAAATCACTTTTTAGCTGCAGCCAGGCACGGTGGCTCATGCCTATAATCCCAGCACTTTTGGGAGGCCGAAGCGGGTGGATCACCTGAGGTCAGGAGTTGGAGACCAACCTGGCCAACATGGTGAAACTGCATCTCTACTACAAATACAACAATTAGCCAGGCATGACAGTGGATGCCTGTAATCCCAGCTACTCAGGGGGCTGAGGCACAAGAATCATTTGAATCCAGGAGGCAGAGGTTGCTGTGAGCCAAGATCACACCACTGCACTCCAGCCTGGGCAATAGTGTGAGACTCCATCTCATACATAAAAATAAATAAATAAAATATATAGGTGCTTCTTAAAAGCTATATGGTCTCTTGAAAGAGTTGTTTGTCAGGAGAAAATTATGAAGAGTTGTCATTGACTGTAAGTCATAATGTTCATATACACCGCCATCACTTTTGTGCATTACTGATACAACACATGTTAAGTTTAATTGCCATTTAAAATGGCATCCAGTATAATAGAAAATATAACTCAGTACTGAAATAAAAGATCTTTGCATATGCAGGAAGGTGCAGAAACAGAGAATCACTTGCAGCATAAGAACTACTGGAATCTAGTTTTTAGATAAAGGAAAAGGCAACATCTCTCTCATGAAATGTGAGGTTTCACAATTTCTCAACAAATTCAGATCATCTGATCTTCCCTCTGCCGATATAAATGTTAAATAGTATTTGCACAAGAATTTGTTGCAAACAAGTTTTCTGAGATGACAAAAATTGGTCCATAGTTAATATAGCCCCACTCCAGCTTTCTTTTCATTAGCGTTTGCCCCTTTTGTTTGTGTTTGTATATTTTTCCATCCTCTTACTTTAACTTGACGGTATCATTATATTTGATGTGAATTTCAAATATGCATTGGACAGCATAGAGTTGGGTCATTTTTTTCTGACAACTTGTTTTAATTCATAATATTAAGATCATTCACATTTAATGTTATTCATATTTTTGAATGAATTAGATCTATCAGTTTATTCTTTTTTCCATTTATTCATGTTTTGCTTTCTGGTCTTCTTTAGAGTTGTTACTATTACATTTACCTATTTTGATTTTGGCTATATTTCTGCATAGATGTTTAATGATAGATGTTTATTGCTTAGGGGATCATAATGCATATACTTTTCACAGTGTAGTTAGAATCAAAATTTTACCACTTCAAGTGGAATATAGCAAACTTACTGCAATATAGTCCCTTTACTCTCCCCATTTTATGTTGTATTTATCTGTACGTTAGATCTACATACACCGAAAATCCCATCAGACAGTATCTTAATGTTTGCTTTCACCCATCAAATATTTCAAAGAATTCACTAGGAAAAGAACAGACCATTATATTCACCCAGATATTTACTATTTATGTTGCTTTTCCTTCATTTCTCATGTTTCCAGTTCCCTTCTGACAACATTTACCTTCTGTAAATGAAAAAATTCCTTGAAAAATTATTTTAGAGCAAGTCAGCTTGGTTTTCCTTTATACAGAATGTCTTTATTTAACCTTCATTTCTTAAGGATATTTCTACTGGATATTGAAATCTAGGTTGGCATTTCTTTCCATTCAGCCTTTTAAACATGTTGTGCCACTTCTTCCCTAGCATTAATTTCTGACAAAAAAAATATGCAGTTAATTGAGTCACTGATCCCTCATAGATAATACATTCTTTTTGTCCTCTGAGTGTTTTTCTGGATGATTTTTGTGTATCCATTGTGTTACAACTGCCTATAGTATTGAGTGCAGTAACATGTACATGCTGTACAGATTTATAGCCTAGGAGGAACAGGCTATCCCATATAGCCTAAGTGTGTAGCAGGCTATACCATCTAGGTTTGTGTAAGTACATTCCGATATTTACACGCCACCACCAACTGACACATTTCTCAGGACATATACCTGTTGTTAAGGGACACATTATGTATTCATGCATAGATTTGTTTCAGTTTATCCCATTTATGGTTTGCCGAAATTATTAAATCTATGGGCATTTAACTGTTACCAAATTTGGTATATATACAATTGTTATTTCTTCAAATATTTTTCAGCATGTACACTTTCTCCCCTCATTCTGGGACTACAATGACATAAATATTGGACTTTTTGTTATTGTTGCACAGGTTCCTGAGGATCTGTTATTTCTTGTTTTGAGTAGGAAGGAGCTATCTTTTGTTCTCTCTACTGTTCACATTGAATAATTTCTATTGATCTATCTTTAAGTTCCTTGTCATCTTCATTGCACTATTGAGCTCAACCGGTGAGGTGTAATTTTTTTCTTGGTTATTATACTTTTAAGTTTTTAATTTTCCCTTCGGTTCTTCTTCATATCTTGTATTTCTTTGCTGAATATTTCTATATCCCATTTATTTAAATGGTATTTGTGATGCTTTTTAGAACATTGTTATAATAACTATGTAAACATCTTTGTGAGTTAATTCCAACATCTGCATCATCTTCGCATTGGCACTGATGGCCTTTTCTCATGCAAGTTCTGGTTCTTCATATGCTGAGTAATAATGGATTGTATCCTGGACATTTTGAACATTATATTATGAGCCATTGGGTCTTGTTTAAATTCTAAGGAGAATTTTCACTCTTGCTGATTTAGCAGACAATTGACCTGGTTACATCCAAGTTGCCAGTTCTAACCCAACTTCTGTGTGCTCTGATTCTCATGTTGATTAAGTTTTCAAAGCCTTTGCAATGTTATTTGAATCTGACTAGTATGTGCCAAACCTAATGGTCATACGACAACCTGGGCAGTTGTCTATTTATTAATTCAGTTCCTATCATCTTTGGTATGCTGATTAGGATCAAATTAGTGCATATGCAAGTAAGGGGTGATCCCAAGAGTTCATAAACAACATAAAGGATAGCGTTGTCAAGATCTTCTCTTGGCAATCTCTCTAGCATTTTCCAGTTGCCTGGGGCTCCTGCTTTAGTTATCCCACTCCCCAGCATGGTTTCAGGGCAGAGGCAATGCAATGGGAGGATGGAGGGGAAAAAAGCAACAAGGAATCACTCCTTTCTTTGGGATCACAGCTCAGCAATGAAGAAAGTTCTTCTTTCACAAAGTTGGCTCCTGCTCACCTGCTGTTTCCAATACAGAATTACTTGGGGTCTGGGGCATAAGAAAATGGAAAGGAAGGGAAAACAAACTATATCCATACTCTCTCTGACATTACAGCTCACTTTTTCATGTTCTTTTCACCAGGAATAAAGAGCATTTCCTGGATATCTGCTGCGTTGCTTGGTGCTCACTTCCAGGTTTCACGTTCAACTATACTCGAGTGAAGGAATAACTGGAGGGAAAAGCTGGTTAAGTTGACTGCCGGTTAGAGGTACTTGAAATTTGGGTGTTCTCCCCTAAATCTCTTACTATTTACTTTTCAAAGTCTTTTAATACATGCTTCATGGACTCATGCAATTCTGTCCAGGTATGATCACCGTGCTCAGGGTAAGTGGGAAAAGTGTATTTACTCTATCCTCCTCAGAACCAGAATCTTCACATCTAATTTTCATAGATGTCATTTATTAAGTGCATATGAGCAAGGCCTATTCTAAGTGCTTCACTTCTCTAACATTTTCCAAATCCCTAAGTTGTATATAAGTATAATTACATATTATAATCTTCATTTTATACATAGGAGAACAGATGCTTAGAAAAGATGAAGGACCTTGACAGCGTTCACCTACCTACTAACAAGACTTACAGTAGGCGTTAAACATTATACCTTGGATATATTATATTTTGGAGCAGGCAGTTTAAAAACCTGCTCCAAAATCACCTACAGTCCTTCTTAAAACTGAAGCTTCCTCTATCTCACCCCAGACATACTAAAGTAAAATCTTTGGGAATAGTGTTAAATAACGTTCCTATGCATACTACATTGAGAACCAATGTATAGTCTCTCCAACAAAAGAAGCCTTCGATCTACATTACTTTCAAAAGGATGTCAATATTCAATATTTCATATAGGAATACCCATTAGGGGTGGCATCCATCGGCTTAAAATAGCTTACATATGCTCACTTTCTTACTTTGCCGTATCATGGTAAGGAACATTAAGTAGGACTTGTTATGAACAAGATCCACTTTATACACAAGAAGATTTTCTGGAATCTCACACTGGAACCCAGCATTCTTACTCTCATCCAACTCCTTACAATGAAAGCTCGCTAATACAGCTCCTCCCCAAGAATTATCAATCAATCACTATATGAATTCTATTTTGGAAAGAGACTAAGCATAAGTCAATTCCATTCATTTGTCACAGACAGTACTGCCACATTTCTCCCCAGGAAGTAAAGCTGTCCCATCTTTCCTGATGGAGTGTACTTGACAAAAAAACAGTTTTGAGGGGCTCACTGTGAAGAACTGGGAACCCCATCTTCTATAAGCCCAGTTTGAATAACAAGGCCCTCAGTAATAAATAAATATGAGTAAAAAAAAAAACAGCTTAGAAGAAATCCACACACTACACATAACTGGGAAGGAAGAAAACCTTGCATCAGAATGAAGGAACAGATGACTTTTCTTAGGTAAGAAGGTATTTAGGACAAGTTTACATGTAAGGGTGTAATTACAAAGATTTGAAAAAGTCAATCAGATTGCAACATTCACACAGGATGCCTAGCTAATAATGTAAATAACTCAAGAATCCTGTACACATAAATCTTCTGAGAATTTCAAGGAGTTTTATAGACATTGGATTAATGGCTCATAACAGGGATTATCATTCCTAACTCTCATATGGGAAAATCAAGGTCAAGTGTGCCATTCCTAAGGCCCTCCAATAGTCTCCTTTATAAGCAATGTGTTATAACACACCATAACAATAAGTCATATTCCAATATTAAAACTTCTGACAAATAGTCTGCTTTGAAATAAGAACCTTTGTTGAAAACTGTTCTTATGGATATTTATGAGGAAGTTCAAAAGTGTTAACTTGATCAGCAGTAATGAATCAAAAATACAAAGAATTCAGTACAGTTATTTTCAAAACTAAAGAGTATGTCAAGCAGTAATTTTCGCTGCCAGGTCCTCCCACCCCCAACCCCACCACTTTCTGGAGAAAGAAAACTCCAAAACATATGGCCCAGGAAGAAAATCTGTACTCGTTTATAGGAATGAACTGGCTTTTACATCTCTGCAGTTAGAGTACGCAAATGACTTCACAGGCAACAGCTTCCGTATGTTTCATATTTTTAACATTGACCGTTCATAATAAAGATTCTTTGATCCCAGATCAAATGTTTGAATCGATTTTCCCTACATTTACTCAGAGTCACCATTTAAAAAGCTCCCCTCTTTCCCACCTCAGATGTTTCAGCCCTTCCTGCAATCAGAACTGTCTCCATTTGTCACCTTCTCCATGGTCCTTCCTACCCCTTTGCTGTGGTTTTTAGCTCTGCTCCCTAACTTCTCATACAGAAGAGGCACAGTAATAAATAATTTTTGTACATAATAAGTTAACTACAGTAAATGAGATTCAGGATTTCATAGGCATCTTTTTTTTTTTTTTTTTTTGAGACAGAGTCTCCCTCTGTCCCTAGGCTCCAGTGCCATGGTGCAATCTCAGCTCGCTGCAACCTCTGACTCCTGGATTCAAGCAATTCTCCTACCTCAGCTTCCTGAGTAGCTGGGACTACAGGCGCATGGCCACCATGCCCGGCTGTTTGTATTTTAGTAGAGACTGGGTTTCACCATGTTGCTCAGGCTGGTCACAAACTCCTGAGCTCAGGCAATCTGCCCACCTCTCGGTCTGTCAAAGTGCTGGGATTGCAGGCGTGAGCCACCGCACCCGGCCCTCATAGTCATCTTTAATAACACCAAAAGCTCATGGTAAAATTTAGTATAAAAACTGATTGTCTCTCAAAAAAAAAAAAAAAAAAAAAAAAAAAAAAAA